AACACCCGTTGACAAGAAACCCCTAAACGGGACCCTCAAAGAAAAGCCGCAGGCCGAGGTGCTGGGCACAGAATTTACCACTCTCATCTTAGGGCGCCTCACTAGTAAGTAGAGTACAGCATATCCCAAAACTCTGTTCTAATAAGAGGCGTTATTATATATCAAGGGCCCTTTTTAAGTTTTACCGAAGACTGAACACGAAAGCCAGCACGTAAACCTGAAGTCCTCCCAAGCCCTAAACCTAAAGCCTAAACCTTGAACCTAAACCTGGTATACCTGGAAAGGGCAAGTTCTAAATCCTAGAACCTAAATTCATGAGGCCCGAAGGCACGATCTTGGAATCAACAAAACGAAGTGAAGCCCGAAGTGTACTTAGTCCCCCCCAACTGGTCCTACAATAGTTTCAGGTATATTCCTTAATTGATACTGGAGTCTCTGGGAACCCTTAACCCTATAGGTCCCTTAAAGGAACCCTGAACAATTATCATCCATTATTCAGGCCCCTATAGTAACCTCAGCAGAACAGGAGCCGCAGTCGTTTGCCTTTGTGTCCTTCCTGGATTGTGAGGACCGCTCTGCTGTCAAAAAGCACCTTTTTGTCACATGGGTCTCGAGGTTTGATATAGGGGCTTAGGGTTTAGGGTTTAGGGTTTAGGATTAGAATTGAGTTCCTTTAAAGGGGTCCATAAGCGTTACTATGCCCCGCTGTCAAAGCACCCTTTTTATCCCATCGGGCTTAAAGTTTGAAGGTTTAGGATCAAGGGGTTCGGATTTGGGGTTTGGGCTAGGGTTTAGGGGTTTAAGGTTTAGGGGTTATCAGTATAATTCACCCCCCAAAAAACCCTATTCTAATTTATTAAGGCCCTTACAATATGTTTGAGACATGCCTTAACCCTGAAGAACCTACTTTTTTGCGGTTCCTTATTGTGACTTCTTTATACAAGTCTTCAAAAAGGCGATTCCGGGTCAAGGTCTTGGGTACCTTTATAAGGAACCTAGGACTACAAAAAGGGATTACGGGTACTACTGGGCATCCTGGATTCAGGCCCTTACTTAGAGGGTCGAGGGGACTTAGTAACTGGTTATTTTAGGGACTTCTCAGTACCATAACCCCAAGTAGGGCCCCTTTGAGGGTACGTATAAGTCTACTTACTAACCCAAAGGGTCCTATGTTCCGATATAGTAGAATGTAGGGTTTCCATATGAGGAAATACTATTATGACTTAGGGAAGTATCCCCCATAACAGTACATAGGACCCTTTGGGTAACTACTTACTAAGTCCCCCGGCCCTCCAAGCATGGGGCTTGGAGAAGATCCAGGCTTGGAGGGTCCGGGTTTAGGGGTTTAAAAGAGTTACCCAGAGACTCCAATACCCCTTAATTAAGGAATATTCTTTAAATCATATTAGGGATCCTACTCTAAGTTCAGGTATATTCCTTGATTAAGGGATATTGGAGTCTTTGAGTAGTCTGACGGCGACTTAGAAAGTCGGTTATAGGTAGGGTTATATAGGGCTCTACAAGGGATCTATAGGGTTTAGGATATAAGTATGGTTATAATTGGGGTAACTCCATATATGGGTTCTTGTAACTCTACTGCTAACCTACTTGCTAAGTACCCGGGGCCTCTAAGTAGTCCAAGGCCCTGAGGCCTAAACTCTCAACTCCCAGCTGTGGCTAAGCCCTGCACTGGCACTACACCCTACAGACTCTCATGATATAACCCTCCTAAATCCTAAACCTAAACCCTAAACCTTAAACCCTAAGCCTCGAACCCTAGCTCTGATGTCTAAACTCCTGATCTTCAGCGGGTTTAGGGTTTAGGGTTGGACTCTACAGTTCCTGATGCCCGGATCGTTTCACTTGTTTCGGGTCAGGACGCCCACCGGGTTTCAAAGAAGCCCGCCGTAGAGGCCACCTGAGGGCTGGAGCCCAGGGTCCAAGGGGTTTGGACTTGGGGTTCTGGGGTTCAGGCTTTAGTGGCTTAGGAGTTAGGGGTTGAGGGTTCAGGGTTTGGGGTTCAGGGTGTCCGTTAAAAATTTTGATTTGGGGATTGTTGCACACTCGCTGCCACCCTCTCAGGGGTTTCCAGCTGGCCCACCTCTTTCTACATGCAGGCGTAGAGATCGGTCGCGGTTTCCGTGCCGTGCCTGCTCCGACCGTAGGTCGTCGTGCACTACAGACTACGATGGGAGTTACAGAAAACAAAGGGCACCGAATACCTCCCCAATATATATATATATATACATACATATGTATATGTATATGTATATATATATATATTTATATTTATACACACTCATTGTTGCAAGCGCTGTGGTGTACTAGCCATGCATTATGCAGTCACAGAGCCAAAAGCAGTTCTGCCAAAACTTGAATCCTTGGGAGAGGCTGTCATAAAGGGGCCTAATTTCTGAACCATTAGCGTCACATTAAACACCATTTAATTTTTAGGCCCCATAGTATCTTGAAGCGCATGGTGGTGACATACCTCGCTGGGCTCTATTAGCCTAAGGCTCTAAGGACTCATATTTGAAGGCTTTTAGTCCTAAAGACCATCTTATATATATATATATATATGGCTTTTGGGCCATTTAGAGTCTGAGGGTTAGATATTTTAAGCAGCATGGGGTGAGGTTTGCCGCTGTGCATGGTCGAGGACTTGGAGATCTAAGGGCTTGTGGCATTTACGGGGTAATGGAGGGTTTAGGGTTCAGGGTTTAGGGTTCAGGGTTTGGGGTTTAGGGTTGAGGGTTTAGGGTTCAGGGTTTGGGGTTTAGGGTTGAGGGTTTAGGGTTCAGGGTTTAGGGTTTAGGGTTCAGGGTTTAGGGTTCAGGGTTCAGGGTTTAGGGTTGAGGGTTTAGGGTTTAGGGTTCAGGGTTTAGGGTTTAGGGTTCAGGGTTCGAGGTTTAAGGATGCAGCGGTTTGGGGTTGACGGAATGCTGCGTGGATCGTTTCGGGTTCAGGTAGCTTGGCACTCCTCCGTGTGTCATACGGTTAGTATCACCATGACTAGCTGTTAGTATCACCATGATTAGCAGCTGCCGTTATTATTATATACTATGATTTGTTCAACAAACTCCGGACCCTCAACCCCAAACCTGAAAGGTTCCTATCACTGGGACTTGGACGGTGGAGTTGCGCCCCAGGCGCCGGCTGTTGGCAGAGATGTCCGAGACTCCATTATCCCTTGATTACGGAATATTCCTTAAATCATATTAGGGATCCTACTATTAATTAAGGAATATTCCTTCATTAAGGGATATTGGAGTCTCTGGGTTCCGAGACAAGACCATACGCCCGTACGCAGATCCTGAAGCACCGCTTTGAGGTTAGTGCCATCCTCCAGCCCCGCAGCCCTACACAATAGACTAGGGCTACCGTAGAAGCTAGAAAGTTGGAACATCATTATCCTCATGCCTTTAAGGTAAAGTAGAGGCAATCCTAGCACTAATCATCCTGAATCCATGTTCCAACTTTTCCGGGGTTCACCATAGGATCTAGAGTAAGACCTTATTCCCTTTTTGTAGAGTTCAGGTTCCCTTATAAGCCCCTTTAAAGCAAGAAGGGTACCATTTTTTTCTAGGTCACTCTTGGGTCTAGTATAGTAGAAGTTCATACCCCCAGAATGATAAGGTATACCATTTGAAATGGCAGGCTTTCGGCTTTTATTTGCTAAGTTGTGCAGCCTTTAAAAGGTACAGCATGTAGGAGGCTTGTTGGGGTGCAGAATTGGGGCTGACAGCGCACGCATTCGAGAATTGCGGTTCGTGCTGAGGGCTTTGAGGACTTTCGTCTTTAGAGCGTAGGGTTTAGGGCCAGTGAAGGGATTGAACGATGGTGGTTTCCTTCGTGGTCAGGGTTCTCTTGAGGTTTTGACCTTCCTGGCCTGGGTTCAGGGTTTAGGTGCTTTTTCACTGTTTCGAGGATCCACTCTACAAGGCTCTGGAACCTCTCTCGCAAACCCTTCAACCTTAAAGAGTCCGAAACGTTCGCCACCCAAAATCTGAAGCCTGAAGCGCTTGAAACTATGAATGCCAAATCTTGATCCCGACATCCTGAACCCTGCATCCTAAAGCCGAACCTAGACAGTTTAGGGTTTAGTACACCTTTTGAAAACTCAGCAACATAGAAACGTCATCAAGCCGAAGAGAAATGTCCACCCCTCAATCCTTCTGTCCCCCAAGCTAGGAAATCCCAAAACCCAAACCCTTGTGGGAAGGCTTGCAAAGTTCGGCAACAGCTCCGACAAGCGGGTGGCTTTCTGCAGACGGGGTTGTTTCAGTGTGTGTGTGTGTGTTCTCAATGGGTTTTGCATTTGTTTGTAGCGTAGCGAGAGGATTTTCAAGGGTCCGGCAAGGGTCTTGCATTGATTTAAGCTCTTCGTTGGGGGGCTCTTACAACTAGTGTTTGGGGTGTATGGTTGAGGGCTTGAGGGGGGTTTCCTACATTGGAGCCGCTTGTCCAGAGGTCCTTGTAATAAGGAGACTACACCAACTTTACTGAAACCTTTTGGACCTAGAGTAGGCCCTTATTCCGGGTTTTTTGGGGTTCAGGTTCCCTTATAAGCCCCTTTAAACCAAAAAGGGTGGTATTCCTCGGATACTGTTGGGTCTAGACCTCCGCTGGGTGCCCTGTGCCGCTTTTTCGGCTCACAGCATGGATGTAGTTCGTTGTCTCTTCTCTCAAACGCGCCTTGGTCGACCTTGAGGATCCCTTTTGGCGATGTGTTTTAGTTTGGGTTTTTTGTGATGTTCCGAACCGGAGCCTTTTGGGGTTGAGGAGCTTAGGGTTCAGGGGATTAGGGTTTAGGGGTTTAGGGCTTAGAGTTTCGACCCTAACAGCCTTCAAAGCCCTAGGCCCTAAGCTCCTGAAACTTTCTCAGAGGCTAGGACCTAGAGTAGGCCTTGATCCCCTTGTTTGTTCCCTGGTAAGCTCCTTTACACCTTACAAAGGGCACCTTTGTTATTACTAGGTTACTCTTGGGTCCAGCCCAGGTGATGGCTCAGCGGATGATGGCTTCGGTGCAACATCAGGTGGCTCAGGCGCTGATCCAAATGAACCCGGCCAACTTCAAGACCAAGGACAAGGGTTGAGTCTGCGTGTTTCCGATTTAGGGTTTAGGGGTTGAGGGTTCGGGACTTATTGCATACGTATGTTATGCTCGAAGGGAATAAACTGACATGCACTAGCATATGGACTCTTCTATACTCGTCACGCTACATACGGGGTAGAGTCGGGGCTTAGTGTTGCTGTTGCTGTGACCGTGCGCATTTAGAAATTCTGGGTGCAGGAGTGCAGGTTGAGGTTTGATTGGGGTTTAGGGTTCAGGGTTTCACTATTGGGGGCCCAACAAGAACAAATGCATAAGCATTATATGGGGATATCCCTACCATATTGGGCTTCATTATAAGGGGATTTATATGGGATATCCCTATTCTAATTTTTGCTTGTGTGTGTTTTTGGGGCCCTACATTAGGGTGTTAAACTCCCAAACGTTCACTAAGACCTATACATAAATTGAGAAGAGCTTGCAGCTTACTAGTTGCAGGTTACACCCCTAAACCGTGAAACCTTAAAGCAAGGATTCAACCTTAAACGCTACACCCCCTAAAACCCACACCGCTAAGCCCCTAGACCCCCAAACTCCTACCCTAGACCCTAAACCCCCGTATGAGATCTGTTTTCAGTGTAAGCCGAATAACCGGCTGGACCTCTGCAGAAAAAGGCCCCATGCACTTTAAAAAAAAAAAAAACCCCAAACCTTAAACCCTACATCCGAAGCAGTAAACCCTAAGCCAATCAGCCTCTAGGAGAAGAGTGTGAGACAAGCGCAGACGTCGGCTTCTTTGATTCCAAGGCCTCCGCAAGATCCCCCATCTGGCCGTGTGACACGTAAGATGAGGAGCTGCTCATGTCGATTTGGTGTTTCAGTCAGTTTGGGAGATTCCTTTAAAGGGATTGATACGGGTTACTATAAGGGGTCCATAGTAGGGTTCTATGGTATAGGGGCCTAAATATGTCGACCCGGTGTTTCAGTTATTTTGGGGGTGGGTTCCTTCCCAAAGGGTCCTATGTACGGTTATGGGAGATACTTCCCTAAGTCATAATGGTAATTCCTAATATGGAAACCCTACATTCTACTATATCGGTACATAGGACCCTTTGGGCTTTAAAGGGGTCGATGGTATAGGGGCGTAAATATGTCGCCCCCTGTTTCAATCTAGCTAACACGGAAATCGAAAAGTTAGCCATAGCGTCATCAACACACACACATACATACATACGTACATACATACATACATATGTATGTATATATATATATATATATATATGTATATGCACATATATTCATGTTTCCCAAAACCTTATTCTTTTTAAGTTGAAGTCAAGGCAACGTTGGGACCTCTACGACAGCACCTTGCTTTAAGGGTCGCAGTCTCTTGCGGGCCACAGTAGTCGGAGCCTGTGCCCCCTTCTCCTGAAGGGGCTGGCTTCCTTCATTTCCTAGGGCCTACAGTAAGCCCTTATTCCCTTTTTGTAGGGTTCAGGTTCCCTTGTAAGCGCCTTTAAACCAAAAAGCGCACCCTTTTTATTCCTAGGTTTGGATCTAGTAGAAGTTCATACCCCCAGAATGATAAGGTATACCCTCTGAAATAGTATATACGTTGGCCTTAAAGTACTTCCTATATAGGTACATTGGGCCCAAAGTATATGCTATATGGGTACATGCACCTTCACAGTAGAAGCCCAAAAGTTGGAAACCCCGTAGCCTCAATCCGCAATGTATAGGAATCCCAGCACTATTTTGCCTTAATCCGGTTTCCAACTTTATGGCTTCTAAACGAAACCCTATAGATCCCTTTATAAAGGAACCCTAAAGGTCCCTTAAAGGAACCCTAAAGATCCCAAAATTGTCTTCTCTTGGGTCTAAACTCCGAATCCCGGGTCCCAGCTCCGAGAGCTGAGCGGGTAAGCGACAGCGACCCAAGGTCCTCTAGGATCCTTCAGGGTTTAGGGTTTAGGGTTTAGGGTTTAGGGTTTAGGGTTTAGGGTTTAGGATTTAGGGTTTAGGGTTTAGGGTTTAGGGTTTAGGGTTTAGGGTTTAGGGTTTAGGGTTTAGGTGGTTCAAGGGGGGAGGGTACAAGGAATCCTTAGGGGAACCTTAGGGAGTACTAGGGTGAGTTAGGGATCACTAGGCTATGTACCCCCCTTGGAGCCCCCTCGATTTAGGATACTACAAAAGGTCCCGGACCAAAGTCGTAAAAATGAAGCCTCTAGCGGTTTAGGGTTTAGGGGTCTAGGGGTTTAGGAGTTTAGGAGTTTAGGGTTTAGGGGTTTAGGGTTTTAGGGGTTTAGGGTTTAGGGGTTTAGGGTTAGTTTAGGGTATAGGGTTTGGGGTTTAGGGGTTCAGGGTTTAGGGTATAGGGTATAGGGTTTAGGGTTAGTTTTCCAGTTTTCCGTCATTTCCCCAGAGACTCCAATATCCGTTGATTGTACGGCAAATTACAGTCGGATCCTTACTATGATTTAAGGTGCATTCCTTAGTTAAGGGATATTGGAGTTTCTGGGCAGCCTCTCAATCTTTGGGTTTTCTTACATTCGTACTACCGACAGGCCCCAAAGAGTTCCTTTTTGGGGATTACCTTATAGGATTCTATATACGAACCCCCCAAAAGGAACTACTTTGGGGCCTTAGGGTAGCCTGACTTGTTAATGCCTGCATAATTTACTAATTACCACTATTATTCCTTAGGGTTACTTTTTATGAATATACTGAAAAGGAGCCCAAAACCTTATTCCAATGCTTACGGACCTACCGTAAACCACTATCCCCCCAAGTCAGCAAGCCTAAACCCTAAACCCCAAACCCTACACTCTAAACCCTACACCCTGAACCCTAAACCGCTCGGTCCCCTGGAGGAGCCCAGTTGAGAAGCACGCCGATGGGGGATACGGAGAAGCGCCAGTGAGCCTTGCCTCTGGATCTTCGAAGAGAGCCCTTTTACCCCTTAATTAGGGTTTAGGGTTTAGGGGTGTCGGGTTTAAGAATTGGTTTTAGGTTCAATGCTTAGAGGCCCAGGGGACTTAGTAAGTCGGTTAGAAGTGGGGTTTTATTTGGGGTGATTGCATTTAGATTACTTATAATTCTAATTATAACCGATCTTCCCAGAGAGCCCAGTACCCCTTAAGTAGAAAATGTACCTTAAACTATAAGGGGATTCATATTGTGGTTTAAGCTATATTCCCTAATTAAGGGGTATTGGGCTCTCTGGGTTCGACTTGGTTTTAGGTTCAATGCACTGTTGTCACCCCAGGCCCTAAACCCTAAATCCCAATCCCATTTGAGGATTCCTCTCAAACCACGACATCCCTACTGCCTCGAACCCCGAAGCACACAAAGTGAAGCCTGAATCCCCTGGTCCTAAACCCTAGACCCTTTAACCCCTATACCCCAAATCCCCAAGCATTTGAGGATACTCCTCAATGGAGTGCAACTGCAGATTCCCAGCGAGGATTCCGAGGAGGACAGGAGGTCGCGGGTTCCTGGGTACTGGAGTATCATACCTTTAATTCTTTGTTTGGGGGTTAAGGGTTATTCAGGCATTAAGGTTATCTAGATTTGAGGTTTAGGCTTTAGGCTTATTTCGGGGTCTAGGTTTACTTGAAAGAACCACTATGAAAGAAAAAGTGAACACTTTCTTTGCCCCTGGTCATGCCTGGTCCACTTGAAAGCACCCTAAACCCAAAACCCTAAACTGCGGTCATCCCTGGTCCACTTCCAAGCCCAGGTTCGCTCGCGATTCCATGGCCCAGCTTTAGAGTGGTTGCTCTGAGCAGTTCAGAGGTGAGGTTGAATAGAGGGGCCTAACTATTTACCAGTACTGTTTTGGGGGGGTTCGTTCTTATGATGTTAGCTTAGAAGGGGCCCCCACCCCGTAATAGTGACTATAAGGATTATATTAGGGCCCTATTATATTCCTATTACAGGGTGGGGGCCCCTTCTAAATCATAGCATAATATACCCCCAAACCCTATTCTAATTAGTAGTTCAGAGTTGGGTTCTATGTTGTTTGGTGGTTCAGGGGATTACGGTTCCTTTCAGGGTTCCTTTAAGGGATCTATAGGGTTTAGGGTGTAGGAGTATAGGGTTTAGGGTTTAGGGGTCTAGGAGTCAAGGTTTAGTTGCTTTTCTGGTTTGGGAGTTTTAGGGGTTTGGAGGTTTGCCTGATGAATTCGTGATACTATTCCTGCTGTCGGTGGGTCGGTCGACGGGCAGGGTTTAGGGTTCAAGGTTTAGGGTTTTGGGTTTGCATGCATCCCTGCGTGCTTGGACTCATGTATGTCCACACACACACACACAAACACACCCCAGCTTCTTCCGCGCCGTCCCCTCCCTCCTCAATCAGTATCCAACAAAATAGCAGAGCCGACCAAGAATCTACGTAGCGCGACTCACTCCGAACCCTAAACCAAAATCCCCTGAAGCCCTACCTGCGGATCCCAAGTCTACTCTTTTCAGGGTTCTACCCTCTACATAAGGGGTCATAACCCGCTAGTTTTCAGGGTTTGGGGATACGCGATACAGGTAAAGCTCATAGTTTTGAGCTTGAACCCCTAAACCTTAAACTCTATCTTAAACCCCAAACTCTTAAACCCTAGCCCAGGAGCCGGGAACATTTGCGAATGAACTAGTGGGCCAACCCACATCGCAGCTGCTGCAGCAGGCAAGCCTGTGCAAGCTAAGACCGTCTATGCCTCTCGTCTGCGTATTTGGGGTTTACGTTAGCCCTGAATAACCTACCCTTTCAAGGTCCTCTATTATGATTTCCTTATAAAAGTCCTTAAAAATGTAGGTTCTTCAGGGTTAAGGTAGGGTTTAGGATTTACGGTTTGGGTTTAGGATTTAGGGTTTGGGGTTAGGATTTAGGATTCAGGGTTTAGGGTGTAGGGGGCAGCACAGTAAATTGTAATATGATTCCTGGCGGTTCCTTATCTTTCTGTACCATTGTGTCTGCGTGCGGTAGACGCCTGAGTAGTTCGTATATACCTCAAAACCCTGTTCTAATGAATAAGGCCCCTGTATGTTCTCAACTTTTGTATGGCTTGGTCGGGGCCCTCTCGTTCAGCCAGTACTGCTGATGGACAAAGTTCTGAAATATCCGGCATGGATTCTGCAGGACAGGACCTGACAAGCCCTCTAAAACACTGCTTAGACCTTTAGGACGTCTCATAATGCCTCACGAAATATTTTAAGCACGCTCCGTACATAGGTCTAACCCCTTATTGAGGCAGTCCAAGCACACTGCTGAAGCCAAGAGCTACATAACCACACCCAAACTGCCCTCTTAACAGCAGCCCTGAACCCATCTTATGGTTTAATGTTCGTGGTTTAGAGGTTTAGGTGGTTGTGGTTTAGGGTTCATGGTTGCAAATTTCAGGCGCTGCATCCTCTATGATTACCTTCTCAAAAAAGTTTTGTTGGTTTAGGACTGAGGAGGTATGAGGCTTGCAGACACCCTAAACCCTAAACCCTAAACCCGAAACCCTAAACCCTAAACACTAAACCCGAAACCCTAAACCCTAAACCCGGAACCCTAAACACTAAACCCGAAACCCTAAACCTTAAACCTTAAACCGTATGACTGAGGAGTTATGAGGCTTGCATGACGCGTACCTTAACTTCGGCTGCTTCAACAGGCCTTGGGGAGCTCAAATGGGGATCTGCCCAAACAAATCTAATCCTGGCAACTTTTATCCCAGCTTGCGAGGTTTCCGGAAGCCCGAAATCCTAAACCCAAAAGAACCCAAAGCCCTGAGAAACCCTAGCCCCAAAATCCTAATCCCTAAACCCTAAACCCAGAAGCCCCAATCCCAACCCGAACCCCAGCCCTGCCAAGGACGTGAACAGCGAAGCTCACCGTCTCACCTTATGCTACAGCTCCTGTGTCTGGGGTTCAGGTGAAGGGATATTTTTTGGTGGACTGGGGTGAAAGGGGTTAGGGACTAGGGTTTACGGGTTTCGGGTTTGGGGTTTTGGGTTTAGGGTCCCAGTGATCAGGGATTAGGGTTTCGGGGGTCGGTTTTAGGGTTCGGGGTTCGGGGTCTGCGAATCGAGGCCGCCCTTCTGGTTCTCCGGGTTTCTTGTGTTGGGGGAACTTGGGCTTTACGGGAACTATTAGGGCTTACAGGGTTTAGGGGTTGTTCTGCGGTACCATAGGTCTAGGGTTTAGAGTTCCAAGCATTGCACCGGAAGGAGCAGTTTCTGAGGGGACCCCAGAACCATGCCCACTGGACGCGCATGCACCTGCACTGGAGATATGCTAAGCTCTCAGCATCAACATGTTTGTTCGTAGCATCGGTCTCACTGTCTCGCATCCGTCACTTTATGAGGGAATTCCAGCCTTTCATGCACACTAGTCTCCTGTCCCTGCCTCTATGGCTTTGGGTGTAGGGGCTTGATTTGTCTATGGCTTCGGGTTTCCGGCTCTATGGCTTTGGGTGTAGAGGCTTGATTATGTCTTTGGGTTTAGGGCTCTATGGCTTTGGGTGTGGGGCTTGATCTTCCCCTGGGCGTAACTTGATCTTCCCCAGTCTCGGCCTTTGCGGCTTTGGGATCTTTGGGAATGGCTTACCCGGAGGCCCCAATGTAGTTCCTTTTGGGGGTTCATATATATTATAGAATCCTATTAGGTAATCTCAAAAAGAACTACTTTGGGGCCTATGGGTAGATAGCGCCAGTCAGGCTTGGCATGCGCAGAAAATAATCGCCTCTGCATCCCTACAGCCCTTGAGCGACGGAGTTTAGGGTTTAAGGTACCTCAAAACCCGAAGCTTCAATCCCCGAAAGACAATCGGAGCTGTGCACTTATCAGAGAATTACCACGGGTGAAGGTCTGACGACCGCTTTCACCGCTTGTGGATATGTTATCAAACCGGGGTGTGCGCAGGTTCCAGAGGAAGCTTGTCAAATGGAAGCTATGCTCATGCGCTAGGACCCACGAAGTCTCTGTGACCTTCCTTTCGAATGCTCACGGAAATCGCCGTAACTGATTGAAATGGGAGTTTCCGAAAATTCGGGTACCTTATTTAGGGGTCCTTATAATCAGGATCCTACTATTTAGGGTACCATATTAGGCTCCGCTATTTTCGGAAACCCCCAAATAGAATGTCCTCACAAACCGAGTATGTGGCCTCTTCAGTAGGGGATCGACTCTAGTCTGCTTGCTGCGGGGTGCAGTACTTAGTAGCTGAGTTTATAAACTTTAAACTTTTTGGGATAATGCAACCTTCTTAAAACTGAAAGTTGAAACTTTTGTGGGCTTATGCACTCGGCAACTAAGAGTAGCTAGTACGGGGCTTTTCGAGTCAAGAGGAGATGCCCGCTTTGGGTTCGTTTCGGGTTTCGTGGATCTAGGCCTCGATCTTCAATCCCACTCATGGTGTACCTATGCTAAACCCTGATCTTCACCCCAAACCCTAAACCGCTGTAACTACCCTTGAACATTCAGCGCCGACGTCTCCCCTTCCTGTCGCCGGACGACAAAGGAACTCCCAAGAGACCAACATGGCTATCACACAGCTACCAAGACCCGCTTTTTGGTAGAATTTAAGAATTTCATATTAGGGTGTGGAGCCTGCAAACAAAATAGGTTAGCGTAGTTCAGTTCAAGCTAGGGTTTATATAGGGCTTAGGAGGGCAACTGCGAAGACCACAACATGAACATGAAGGGCTTGAGGGGCTTATCCTCTGACCCCGAACACTAAATACTAAACTCAGACGCCTAACTAACCATTGGTATCGGAGGAGCTGAGGAGCCAGGGATGATGATAATCCCTATTAAATAAGGAGCTAAAGAGCCAAGGGAACCCCAAAACCACTGCTTAGCTAAAGACCAAAGTCCTGCTACACCCTGGCCGAATCGTTTTTGAAAAGCTCGGCCGTGCTTTCCCCGCATGGCACCAGTCAGGGCAAGGGGATCAGCTTGGACTGTGTTTTCCAGACTTGTCGAAGCTCCAAGAAGAAGTCATGGCAGGACATAGCATGAAGAGTCCTGAAACCCTCAACACTAAACTCGCTAAACCCTAAACCTTGAACTAAATCTCCTAAATCCTAAATCTTAAACTCAATCCGGGCCTTTCAGTGCAACTGGGAGGAGGATCCCACAGTCACGCCAGATAAGAACACCCACTTCCTGACCCCACGCACTGCAGAAATCTAATCCGCGAGCTCTGGTGTAGTATAGGGGCCTGAATCATTATCGCTGTTTGTCGGGGGTTGTTCTATAGTATTGAGAAAGAAAAATAGTCGCAAGTATTCGGGCTTCTATTGAAGGCCGAGATTTCAGGTTTAATGTAGGAACCTGATCAAGAAACCTTGGGCCTTGTTTCGGTTTTCTTATACGAGCCCACTATTTTGGGGATTACAGGCCCAGGGTTTCTTAATCAGGTTCCTGCATTATTATAGTACCCTTATAGATCCCTTATAGTAACCCCTATAGACCCCTTTAAAGGAACCAGCTCCCAAGACCTAATGTTCCTGCATTAGGTCTTGGGAGTTTGGGGCTTGGGGTTTTAGGGGATTACGGCTCTTAGGCCCGGCAACGACGAGGGGGCGACCTCCTGAAAAGATGAAATTGAATCCGGGGCCAGGGGCTTTGGGGTTAGGGGTTTAGGGTGTAGGGGTTTAGGGGTTTAGGGGTTCAGGGTTTAGGGGTTTAGGGTTTAGGGAATCCGAGGGGCCTATGAACCCTACACTCCTAAACCCTAACCTTCTTCTTTTAGAGAGTTGCTTTGAAGGGTTCCTTTGTAGGGTGAAGGTCAGGGTTTGATGTTGAGGGTTTAAGGTTTAGGCTTAGGTTTCTGACTTTAGCAGGATTTAGGGAAACGCTGTGTAGCCCCTGTGAAAACCTCTAATAAACTTTTTGCCCTGTACAAGGAGCCTCCAAGTAAGCCCGAGAGTTCAGGATTCAGGGCGCAGCTTTGAAACCGCACCCATTTAAACCCTCCTCTGCAACGCTATCAAACCCACATGAAATCTTCAAGCACGGTTCAGGGCTTGCAGATTTTGGAAGATTTGCCTGGTACTGTACCACCTCGGGGACTGACGAGGTGCAAATTTTCATAGAGTGCTGCTGGGCCTTGTAGGCGTACATGGGTTCCTTTGAGGGCCGTAAGTGCCACAGCATGATCCCCTGCGAGATCCTGTTTTTCTTCGCTGCCCCCTGCGTGAACATGTGGCCCCTCTTTAGGGTGGCCAGTGGTGCTCGCGCATGCTACTCTGACTGGGTGTGGCACCATGTTTAGGGCCCCTAGCCCCCAAGTCCCAAACCACGATGGAACCCAAATATCCCAACCTGCGCAAAGGTGACATTTGTTGATGTGGGTAGTTCTCAAAATCAGGATTCCTCTGTAGGTCCGCCCAAGTACTAGGACCTAGAGTAGGCCCTTATTCCCTTTTTCAGGGTTCAGGGTCCCTTATGATATTATTCAAAACCAAGAAGGGCACCCTTTTTATTCCTAGGTTACTCTTAGGTCTAGAATAAGCACCCTGCTAAAGAGGGACCCTTCACCGTATCGGTGTAGAGGTTGAGGGCTGAGAGTTGGGCGCGCGTTTGAGGTGTAATCTTCAGTTCGTATTATGAGGGCGCTAGTTTTCGTACACTGTTTGGGATTTAGTGCCTTGAGCTTTCGGT